TCCTTTCTTTCCTGAGTCCCAGCCAGAGCATCCCGTTCAGCCAGGCCGGTCGTCTTCGCCGCCTGTTCTTCTTACGGCACATGGGGACAGCCCACTCCTGTGCCTTTAAGACTTCCTTCTTGAAGAACGTCCAGCCTTCCTGGACCCCTTTGCCCTTCAGGACTGCCTCCTCAGGCATCAATCCAATTGCACTGCTAATGCAGTTTTGCTTTCCCTTTAATATAACTTAATCTGGGCATGCCTATATTTGAGGTTGCATACCTCCCACCAAACCCAAAACTGAAAGCACAGGAGAATTTGGAACAGAAGCACCCGAGGAGGCTGACTACCAGCCAGCTTGTTTCAGATGCAGTACAGTTCAGCCAACAGAATACACATGTAAGTCAACATAGCCCCTCACTACTGCGTCTCACTGGTTTGAACCTCAGCTAGTTTAAGGAATCTTATCAGCATGACTCATTTTATGACAGAGGCATCCATCTGTAGCTCAAATTCCTTCAAAGTGCAAGAACTATTATTCAAACTAGGAAAGTATGAATGGAGTATCTGCCTAAAATATCTTGAGGGAACTAAGTATGCCTGTCCTGGGCATGCCTAAAGAAGCTCAGATAACAGCCTTTCACTGCAGAAGCTGCACTTATCAGAAGTTTAAAATTTTAATCATCAGAGGATGCAAGAATAGAATAATCTCCATTTCTAGAAGACAACCAGAAAAGGCTGCTGCAGGTATTCTGATAGGAAAATGATGCAGTATTTTAGATAATCCAGAGCAGAATAAAACTACATGACTTGTGCCTGGGCACAGTCACTTCCGTTCATGGAAACTGCCAAAAGTCTGACAGCAACCTGGAGAATCAATTCTGGAACAACAGGAGTTAAGCAGCCTTAGCTATCAAACAGAACAAGCTGTGAAATAGATTTACAAATAGGTGTGTTTTGCGAGACACCTGAATAACATTCAAACACTACCAGTGTTTGACTCAAACATGGCACCAAGAATGTTCTTGACCTTGCCCTGTAGATTGTCTCCCTATTAGCAGAACTGCAGGAAAAGTGAAATGCAAAGAGACCAGAAAACAACTGTGAGGTATCTGTAGCAAACCCCAGGTTCCAAACTGTGGTAAGCAAGCATTTTCAATATAGCACTTGTTTGCATTGCCTCTCATCTGAGGGTTTGGGAGAATACTCTAAGCAGCCACTAGCTGAAACAGGGCAGAACTTAACACTCGCTCTCTGCAAGCTAGAATAGGTAGTTGTTTTAACTTACAGACACATCACCAAGAAGGTCTGATATTGATGTAAAAATAGGCAGGTGTGGAACTCAAAACACTTCGATTGTATAAAGAAGGTCATTTTAGCCAACTGAAAAACGAAGTACTTCAAAGAAGGAGTTCAGCAGCTAACGGCCCAATACAAACACTTCAGTGCTTCTTTGACAGGAATTAAATCCTTCTCCTTTAAATTTTGTAGGAACCACTTCTAACACTTGTAGAACGTGAACATACACAGGAGCATCCGAGAAGGATCTTTCAGCAAAGTTATGTTGCAAGTGTCATGAATAAACTGAATAATTTCCAATACTGGTCCTTGAATACAAGTAAGCAAGATGCAGAGAAACGATTTCATACAAATTGCTTGCAAAATTTACAAAATTCTAGTGACCATGTACACTTTTGCAATTTGTTATACTAAAGGATGTTCAAAGAGGGGAACTGGAAAGGCAGAAAACATAATCAGAAACTGGTTCTAAGCTTCTAGGCATTCCAATTTGAACATCAGAAGTTTCAAAGAACCAGATCATAACCTCTGCAGAGGCAAAACAACACTGCTTTGTTTATAGTGGGAATTCCAGCATAGACGTCCAGTTTCTGAGAGTAATCCAGTTCTTTTCAAGAGAGACTGACCACTTTAAATGTAAGGGAGACAGAAACGTCCTTGGAAATCATGTGTGGCAAGTTATAGTGTGATGCACTCTTCCATAGCCTTCAGAACATGTGTGGTATTCCCTATTCTCTGCTGTCAAGATGCACGAAAAGCTGATTTTTCAGTAACAGGATTATAAAGAAGCTTACTCAAAGGAGAAATGGGATTTTTAATGGTTCCAAGATGCCCACTGTAAAGCATTTCCTCACCCACTTGTTGTAAATTTACACAATGTTATTACAACAAATTTCATACTGCACTTAAATTTTCTTATTAAATTTTTTCTCTTCAGTAATGTATACACACTAAATCACCCTAATTATTTTGTTTGTCTCCTATATGTGAAAACCAATTCACTGTATGCCTAAAAAACTTCCCAAGGGAGTTGAGGAAAGAAAAAAATCCATGTGTACCTGTCTCTTCCAGCCATGCCGCTTTATATTTCCTTTGTTTGGTATTGAAAGCCAACCTTCAAGTCTTGATTCTGGTTTAAAAAAATGCATATTAAATAATATTACGTATTTATAATAATAAAGCAGAATAGCACAAAAGCAAACCATTACTAGAAAGGAAGATGTACTACATGCAGTAATAGGCAATTACCTATTCAGCAAAGCAGAATAAAAAGCACAGCTAAATAAAATGAAGATATAAGCATTTACTTCATGCTTCATCACAAGCTAACACTTGATGATACAGTTACTGCAAAATAAAGTGAAGCTGTTTTCCTTGACGCCAACATCTAACACTGTATGTAAATAGTTTGCAAAGAGCCAGGCAGGAAAGACTTTGCTTTGAAAATGTGTTACAGCTTAAACAGAGAATGATTAAGAGATTTTCAATATAAACATAATTTAACATTCAGAGGGGCTATAGGAAAATACTCAGAGTAAACCAAACCAGATCCACATTTTCCAAGGGAAACAAAAAAAGGAGAGCGCACAAGAGCAAGCAAAGCTACACAGGTGTCCCATTACTCACAGAAGATAAGCATAGGAGATAAATAAATAAGGAATGCAGGAAGAATCAACTGGATATAAAGAATAAGAGACAAGCATTTTATTCAGATTTTCAGTGGACAATTTTCCAAAGAGTAGTGTAATAACGTATTTTCCTACCACAAAACTACTGAAATAATTTAACAATGATACAAAGAAGCATCACAAGAAAATTAGCATTCTGCCTAATGTGAATCATAGATTTAAAAAACCCCTCTAGCTAACTGATACTGGTTTTTGATAGACATTTTTTAAATTATGAAGCCAGGCAGTAGCAGTGAGAAGATACCGTGATTAATCTGAAATGTCACAGTAACAAGTCTCACAATTTTGTAAATGTAAGAATGAAGTAATCAAAATTTCACTCCATAATTATAAATTTATTTCACAATTGAGAAAAAAATTTGTATTTTTTTTTAAATGGTCGTAAAAATGTGATTTGTAAAAAAAGTGTAAGAGTATGGAAATATAGCCAATAGCTAATGTATGCATTCTTTACAATAAACTTAACTGGCAGCACTGAAAATTTCAAAAATATTAAGTTAAAACTTGCTGAAACATTCTCCACAAACATTTATGTAAGAAGGAGCTACTGGTCCCTTTTATCCTTCAGGAATAACTCTCTGTGAGGTGTAGCCCAGCAAGCTTTGAAAATACATACAAATATATAAAAGATATTGTCCATACACTTTGTTATGTAAAATTACAATGAGACTGACAGCCTAGCCTTCTACAAGGCATTAAAATTAGGTATTAAAAAAAACCTTCCTGCATTAGCCTTACAGGATACAATATTTAGAAGTGGACTACGCTTAAAAATATAAAATCATTTCCTAACATTTCTCCACACAGAATAACTTCAAAATTCTCGGGGACCACTGTACTATTGAAATTCTAATTGGATGAAAGGCATGTTAGCAGAACTCATTCCAGTAAGAAACCTTCCTAGAACAATGAAGGAAATCTGTATTTCCCTGCCTCTCATATCTGCATAAGAATTGCGGGGGGTGGGGGTTGCCCCCCCACCCCCAACCCCCTCCCCAATTCTTGATATTCAGTAACTTTGGAAAAGGAAACCTATTTCCTTCATGTCTTCAGGCATCACAGATAATGCTTACCCTATTTTGAATACTTTAATTAATTTTTACATCAAGAGAAGATTCCTCCATTTTTAGAAATTTTAGGAATATCCTAAAAATCAAGTCCTCCAATGCAAGATAAAGTGATTAACTGCTAATGAAGAACATCGTATGGACAACTGTGATTCAAAAGGACTATAGTATGGATGACTGTGATTTGAAAGAAATAAATACGCATCTGTGGAAATTGTGGCATATGAAAATCTGGAAAGATCCAATAATGATAAATTTTAAAAGATGCACCAGGTACTATGCTGCTTATAGGGGCAGCGTGAGTACGAGTTTTTCTAAGTTCACTTCTATTTCAGCACGTTCTGAAAGAAACTTCAAAGAAAGTAGAAAGTGGATGACCTATTACAAATGAATCAGTTGACATTCTTTTCTGTCTACTACAAATCTATTTTAGTGAGCAAATTCTACTTGCATGAGAGATGATTTCTGAGCTGTGAATAACATCTTGCAGTTGAAAATAAGAGTTTCTGAATGTACTCCTTTTCAACAAACGTAACATTTGTCTGGAACTGAATGTACTCTTGAAAGGGTTGATGAGCCCTTTCATTCCAACCTTGCCACAAAGGTTTGTCTCAAGTAATATTTATAGTGCATTTTAATTTCCCTTGACAGAGTTAGCTAGCACAACTGCAAATGCTCATCTGGCCATTTCACAAATATTTGATCCAGCAGAATAATATTTATGAGTGTTCTGATTAAGTAATTAAGAAAATATGGGCTATCTAGACTATGAAAAAGAATCTTCCATTCCTGTCTTTAAAAATAGGCTCAAAACTATTGCCTGACAACTTCCCTGTATTTTGGAAAGAATCCCAGAATTGATACTTCGTATTTCCAATCCAGAAAATCCAAGATAGGCCTCAAAAATACCTGATGGCTAGCTGGACCTGAATAGAACATGAAGAAAGAATTCCATGAAGGCTACAGATCTTACAATTATCTCTGAATATATATTAAAATGTGTATTTGAATTCTAAACATCTTCATGGTTAGTATTCATATTGCCAGGATTCATTGTGATTCAGTATGATAAACATGAATTCTAATAGTAAGTCTTCAATAAAAACACACAAGACAACCATGACTGTACTGATTTATGACACTTTTTGTTGTTTTGGAGCTAAGTAATACAGGCGCCTTCATGAGCAGTAGAGCATCTCCTTCCAATGTTCAAGAATTCCTACTCCTCAGACTCTTCCACAGTAACCAAAAACCTGGAAACACTACCTTGCTAATTCTTTCCAGTCCACCCGTCCCATTTGATTCTTTCCTTCCCCAGACTGTCTTACTATAATTTCCTGTGGATCTCACCAAAGATTGCTGGCTGGATCTTACTTTGAGGTTTATTCAGGTGACGGTTACTTGCAGGTATTTCAGAAAGTCGTATCTGTGTCCCATATTAAAAAAAATGGTGCTTTAAATGGTCCACGTTTATTATTCCACTCTATTTTTGTGTAAAACATGATTTATAACATACACTGTAAAATATTATGTGCTGCAGTTAAACCTGTAGGACAGCTCAATTGCTTAAATTATCTTGCCAATCAGATGAAAAGATTTAATTCACAACAGGTTAAGTGCCCTATAACAATTAGGAAAAAACCCCTTAAGTTCCTGATTATGTTTGTCTTGACACAGGAGAATTCTGTTTACAATCATGTAAGTATTAAGACTTCCTAAGTCCAGCCAGGAGGAAGAGGCATTCCAAAGGCATCATTAAAAAGCAAATATTTCAGCTGTTTCAGCAAGGACTCTATTAACATTGGAGACACCGAGCCACAAGCTGCTATCTGAATCAATAATCAGGAGTGAGAGTTACAAACTAGTTACAAACAGCCTAGAACTGAATACAAGGAAAACCTTCCTCCAAGTCATGATCTTTCCCATCTGGTGAAGCAGAAGCCTGAGAATAGCCTGGATTGTCCAAACAAGCCAATCCCTACCTTGGGAGCAGTGTAAGTTGCCCTGGGAGCTACCAGAATTTGAGGGAGTATTTAGTTCAACAGCAGACAGAAACCACCTCCAAGTAAGATGCAGTTGTAAGGTGTGTTACCATGTGATTTCTCTGTATCTACCTTCAAATACAGAAATTATTTCCTTACATTTTTCTGAGTATTAGGAATTAATTTTAGTATTACCTTGAGTTTATTCAAAGAGTGCAAAGCCTTCTGACCCCAAAATTTTACAAGATGCTCTTCCCGTAAATTATTACTTCTACTCTTATATCCTCTCTGGTGGCTGGTAACCTAAGCTCCCTGATTAGACAAGACACTACCTGATAGCCTGAACCTCTCTCCCATGCAGGAGGACAGCAGAAAATGCCTGAGAGCCAGGGGTCTCTCTGGAATTCCACCAACGTTACTATCACACCATTTCATACCCAGTTTTTTCTCAATTAAACCAGAGACTGCCCATTGCCAGAACTGAGACCATGGAATCATTCTTTTATACACGCTTACATTATTTTGTGCTTTCATTTTTCCCTGGTGATGTTTTTACTGTGACAGGAAACTGAATAAATCATACTATAATTACTTATTTAGTAATTCTACCGTTTATTTGCCTTAAATATTTTTAAGGAATGTCTTTGCCTTAAGGACAGATGCATCAGCTAGAGAATCCTGTTGACTACTCATCAGATCCACCTCTTAAACAAGATGCTAGTCAAGGTGCTCTGAAGGAATGTCTATGTTTAGGCTACAGAAGTGCTGGGAACTTAGCACATAGTTGAAGACAAACAACTTCATACAACTAAATTGTAGCAAATGAACTGCTGTAGTATGTCACCTTCTGTTTTGAAGACTAATTACTTGGTTTGCAGAAAAATAACTATGCACTGGATTATTTCCGCTTTCTGTGGCATGAGGTATTTTACTTTGAAGACTGGCTGGTTTTTTTCTCTGCGTAATGCTAGTGCACTCCTCTGCCCTCTACTTGCCTCTGACAAATATGTGAAATCTGACTATGCTAATGTCACTTAATCTCTTTTAAATTACCTAAATTGCTTCTTATTCAGCTCCTGATCAACTCAGAGCCTCAACTCAGAGTCTCACTCAAAACCAAAAGCAGCATGTAGGGACATGATCTAAATCTAGAGAAGTCCTAATAGTATGTATTAGAGGTCGTACCTGTATGACACAGTAACACCAGCAGCACAACTGCAGTAAAAATCAGAGGCATGTGTAGAGAAAAGGGCAAAAAAGAAGAGGAGAGAAATGAAAGCCTAGTAAAAAAGAAATAGTTAGAGGGGTCATGAGTACAGAAGACAAAGGGGAAGACCACAAGAACTTCCAGCAATTGTGATGTTCTAATTAACAACGGAAAAGTTACAGCTGACTTGCACATACCGAAATTTCTGCCCCAAAACTGAAGTGGCAGGTCATACAGCCAGAAGCCTGACTACACACGTCTCCAGAGGTAAAACTGAAAATAAAGTACCTTAATGAGGCAGAAAAAGAAAGAGCTTACTCCTACAGTCTTTCCAAGATCTAAGAGACAACAGGGTCATATTAACATGCTATTGTCCTTAAGAAGAAAACAGGGAAGGTGCCTATGCCCAGATGGAGGCACTGGGTGTTTTCAGTCTAATACACAACAGCCATTATGCTGAAAGTGGCTGAGAAGGAAAGTGAGGAAGTTCAAAACTACCTTTTACGTAGAATAAATCTAGTCTGTTCTCTTGCAGAAAAAATTAAGCTCTCAATTTACAGGACTTCAGAATTTTTCAATAAAAAATTACAAACTACAGTGTTCTTAATTTAGGAGACACTATCAAACATAAGGCTTGATTCCAAACAGTAATTTGAGGGGAGAAAAAACCACTTTAATAAGTAAAACCCCTCTGATTTCTTTTTTACCCCAGTTAAATGGAATACACTGAGAATTAGTATCTAAGAGAAAAACTTCTGAGAAGTACTGACAGTTCAGAAACACCAGAGGGAGTTCCTAGCAGGTGACAGCTAAGAAAAAAAAGTTCCTTCACCAACCTAATAGCTCTAAGAATTCCCAATACTTAGTTTCGATGGAAGTTTGGCCCAGAAGATGTTTCCAAAAGACGTAAAATAGACATTTACTTTACAAGATGGCAACTGCCTAAGGGTTTTAGAGATCAAACTTCAGAGTTCTAAAGGCTTCTTGGACAGAATGGAAGTTGTGAAGAAAAGACTGTATCATTACCTGAATGAAAATCTATTCTAGAACAGAATTCATTTACATACTAACTAAAAATGAAAACCTAAAAATATACTAGGGGAAGACAGGACACAAAAATAGACACAGAAAGGAATAACTATATAAAAAAAATATAGTAAGTCTCGTAACATACCTGCAATTTCAATCACTCTAAGACCCCTGGAAAAACTCTAGAATGTGGCAATCTGAGCAGCATGAAGTGCATTAACAGGAAAAGAGACACCTAAAAAAATTCTGTTTACTTTTATCTGATTACTCATCCACTGAGGTCTTAAAATACCCAAAATAGTATTCTATTTTCGTATGTTTGAATATATTTTTCTACAATAAAAATCAGACTGTAAATCTGTAAGACAAGCATGTAAGACAAGTATTTATTAAGAATTTCATGATGAATTATAAAAATTACTTAACTATACAAAAAAATAAACCTAGCTCCAACTCATGGAAATTGTTAAGCACAGCTTATTACCACTAAATGTTTCTTCCTGTATCTAGAGATACAGAAGTGGATCACATGAAAGTACTAACTGATTACACTTTTCAAACATTGTGGAGGGGGAGGGGAGAATCACTAACCAGAGTAACAGCGGGTGTCAAAATATAGTGCCTGGGACTGACACTATATGGAAATGGCTGACTACACTGTATTATTTGTTCTTATTTTAATCTGCTAAATCAGAGTACCATGTAACGATAAATGCATTATGGAAATTCCTACAGTTATTTTTCACGTTGGCAATTATCGTCACTTGTCACAAAGGTGCTACATGACTGTGACAACAGTCACATAACAACAGACAAGATCAAGGCAATTTTGCATTCAAGATATAAAATACAATCATAATGATGTGGAAGTGCTGGTCCTGTATTCTGTTCACTGGACACTGCACATTGTATTCACTATATTCAAACAGCAGCAGATGTAAGATACTCTTTCCATGAAAGTGGATAAAAATTATGCTAATGCCAAACCATACAGTGGGAGGAGTGATATGAGACGAAATTAAGACAAATATAAGCAGCTAAGCTACAAAATAAAAACAACAACAACAAAAAAAAGAGGAGATGTGATATAGAAAGAGACAGCCGGAAGATTTTAAAAGGTAGTAACTTGTTTGAAACAGTACCTTCCAAAAATATGTGTATGCACAAAATCAAGTAGTTCAAATATGCTTTTCTCTTACCTGAAAGATTTCCATCTGTTTCATCTGGCTGGAGACTAGCAACGCTGGTAGAATCCATTCCTTGCTGGAGGTCCAAAATTTTCCTTCGTAGTTGTTCTATGTCACTCTCTTTACTATCCAGCTGCATCTGGAGCTCATTCCTGTACGTAGATTCTTCTGCTAGTTGCTGTATTTATATACACATGCATAGTTACTGTGATACCAAAAATATGGCAGCAAAGTATTCTGAAAATAAAACTCATTGTTTTTTTAAATATCTCTAGATACTTTTGATAGCATTAGCATAGATTATTATAGTAGAAGTGTTCGTTCAGCCTTGGAAAAAAGTTAAATATCAAAGATCCAGCAATGCATTCAAGTACAAAACAGCCTGATTAATCTATTAAATTACCATTTGTTTTGAAAAGGAGACCACCTACCACTGAAATAAACTGCATAAGTAGTATGCTACATAAGTAGTATGCTATTCAGTTTTTTAGTCTTCATAATATATCAGTGACTTCCACAGTTAAGAATTTAGGGAGGGGAAATGAATGAGAACAAGCACAGCTGCACACTTGTCAAGTTCTCTGCCTCACTAAAATTCTGTAGCCTAGCACATCTGAAATGGAGCTTGTTATTTTTTCAAGTAGACTAGGAGCTACGCATTTTTCTTCCGGAGCGAATTCCACAATGTGACAAAAAAATGAATATTATTTTACCGCTTGCATTTCATTGAGCTCCTTTTGGTATTTCACTACCATCTGATTGAATTTCTCTTTTTCCTGATTAAGCTCTAATTGGAGCTTTCGGTTTTCCTTCTCTTTCTTCCTCAAATCCTGCATGTTAGCTTTCTTCCTGTCTATTTTAAAATCTTTCCGATTCATTATCTCAGCCAGTTTGTTGACAGCCTGTTAAGAAAAAGGAAAATCAGTAAGGAAAATTTTATATGCAAGTATGTTTCATACAAAACTTCTAAGTTCCTCTAAGTCATAGGATTCGATCAAAAAAAATCTTCACCAACATAAATGGCCCTTACTCACGATAGAAGCAATACTGAAAAGTACACAGCATCAAAACTTACTCTTTCAACTGTAAATATCAACAGTGCATATTATACAGCATGGTTAATATAAGCTTAATCTCAAAGGAACTAAGAGTTACTTGCACAAAAAACAAACTGAAAATGTATGTGATATGCAAAGTAATTATTGTTATTAAATTGCATAAAAAGTTATACCTGTGTCTTCAGAGTTCTTTCAGTGTTAATGCTCTTCTCATAATGCATTCTAATATTATTGATTTCCTCCTCTTTTTTCATTTTGTATTCTGTTAAAATAATACTCAACTTTGAGATATTTTAGGACAAGGTAAATATTTCTAAGCTTAATCACTTCTACAACTGCATCTTCACACACCCCCCATTCTCCTGTTGTGTCACTTAATGTGCAAAATACAGTTTGCAACAATAAAGGTTACCAGTTTAATGCTACTGTAATGACCGAAAATTACCAGAAAGATGTATCAGAAAGGCACCAAGATGAAATACTAAAGCCAACATATGTGTTTTTGTTTCCTGGTGATGACTAAGTTTGTTGCCCCACTTCCTTCGTGTTTGTACTACCAAAAATTAAATCAGTACCCACACAGAATAAGACTGATATGACTGGACTCACATTCAGTACAGATTCTCAAATCAGGCATAAAGAGAACATGGGGGAAAAGGCTTTCTTTAAAAAAGGAATGACTCTGTAACATTCTCCCCACCCCTCTCACACATCAGTTACTCAATTCTACCAATCTTTCTATCGCACCTCCAGTCTGCTCATTTGTTCCCAAAGTTTCTAGAAGTATGCATTTCACTGATAAGGATTTCTCCACCAAAACTACAAACAGTTAAAGAACAATTTTCAAGAACTTAAAAGTAACAAACTCCATACACTAAAAAATACTGAAAACTGCTTGCTCACCCAATCCCTGATATTACGGAAATGCAGCACTAAGGGAAAACATTTTTGTATGCCTTCCTGCCTACATAATGTTTGCAACAATACTGGCAACGCAACCGATAAGGCCTTTACTCTCATAGTCAACAGATACTAAAGCATGCATTCTGATTTTATGCTTGCTCAAATGCAAAACCATGGGAGTAAACTGAATAAAGTAACTTCCCATATAGTCAGAACGCATGTAAATAGAATGCCAATCCACTGATATGTATGAGATCACAACTTAGATTCTGAATCTAAGTAAGACCTTAAGGAAGTTGAAATGCCGATAACTGTTTTACTGTAAATACTGGAGATAGAAACAAAAACTTCAATACATACATTGTGTGCAGTATGAAATGAGTAAAATACTTTTCCTTAATAACTTTCATGCACACAAGGGATGGCTGGCAGAAGGGGGTTAGACAGACAACATTTGGATGAGCTGTACTGGACAGACATTCCTGACTATGCCTGCAGGAACTTAGTGCTAACAAGTTTTAAAAATTGAGGAGGGACTGTGAGCAGAAACTCACTTTTTCCTACCTGCTACAGCTGAGGTTTTAATCGTTTTCAACAATAAAGGCAGTTCATGGAAATGGAAGCAATACAGTAGGAAAGA